ATTAGATAAACATAACAATGCAATCACATCAAAAAAAGCCAGATTCTGAACAAATTCTGTTCTAATGTACAAAAATAGTCTATTCTGTGCTTTGATCTTTTGATTCTAACTTTATGGCCTGTGCAAAACACCTTTAAGGCTAAGACAGAAATATATTGCAAAAAAATATTTTTTTTCTTTATTTCTTAAAAAATACAGAAAAATAATAGTACCATTAAAGACAGATTTTGAATTTCAAATATCCTCAGCAGGAGAGGTTTAGGCTTGACCTAAAATTTACAGAGTGTTTAATAAAGATCTCTTACCCAGAATCCTCTCCATCTCCTCACATCTCTTGATCTCACTGACAAAGCGGCACTGGAAGGAGCTCATGCTGGGGTTGAGCTGGAACAGGTCATCAGATTATGACTTATATGTTTGACACAACAACATATTACAATCTAGAGGCAACAATACAAGGCTTTGGCCATTACATTAATAAAATGATATTTGGTCATTGTTGAGATTTCAGCATTGCATAATAATCGGGTCCGCTTGGGTTAATTTCCTCATGTAAAATTCAACATAAAATCATCATAAAACTGGTTTACATGACTCATGCACTCTATTTCAAGTCTTCTGAAGTCATACGATAATTTTGTCTTCCACTCCAGTGAGGTGTTAACCAACCAGATCCAGATCAGTGAGCTGAACCTGAGAACAGGATCAGATAGATATGTGAATGAATCATTCAGACCAGTTTTGAACCGCATCAGTGAATTAGTTGAAAAGATCACTCGAAAGAATGATTACTTCAGATATTAAACAAGATTAGCTAAGATGTTCACTGCATAATATATTACATGTTGAAATGTTCCTCACACAAAGCTATTTATATATTTATTATAGCCCCAATTCTCATTCACTTGACCATACTGAATAAGTTTTTTTATTTATTTTTTATTGTATTGTACAGAGGAAAATAAGCCATATGAGTTTAGATCAACATGAAGATGAGTAATAATTCATTTTTGGAATGAAAAAATTCTCAAGTTATTAGACAATCAAAATGGACACTTTAAGTTAAAATTCATACAAATGCATAAGGGAAAATGTATATCTTAGGACCAGTGTTATTTTAGTATTATTTACATAATATTATCAGTATTTTTATTAGCTTTTATATTATATTTTGCCATTTTAGTTGATGTTTTACTAATTTTGTTATGTGCTTTTTCAATATTTAATATTCAATATTAATATTAATATTAATAAATAATTTTGGTTTATATTTCTTTCAGTTTTAGTGTAGGTAACTAGTGCTTGAACAAACTTTTTTTGTTATTATTATTTCAGTGAGTTGCCAATGCAACATTTATAATTTTCATTAAAGCTTTTCAACTTATATTTATATTTTATTTTAATCTAGGTTCACTTAAGTTGATAATGATTTTTAATAGTTTTAGTTAACAACAACAGCATTGCTTAGGACCTGTTGACTGGTCACCATTATGCATTCATTTAAAATGTAACAAGCTGCATGCATAACAAAAGAACTAGCAAAAAATTTTTTTTTTTTTTTTTTTAATCTCAGAATTGTTTTGTCAACTTCGATTACTGACGCCAACCTAACAGTAGGCCACACGTAACCAACACAGGGCCAACATTAAGTTGTTAATGAGTGTCAAACAACCTCAGGGTGAATAGAAAACACGGGCTTTTAAACAGACTTTTGCTCTGTTTTTTAGCAAGCAATTGATCCAGCTCAGCGTTAACCAGGACATCAGCCTCTCTGTGTGACCAGGCCAAAATGTGCACACTTCAACACGCATTTAATTAAATCCGTTTCACACCTATAAGCGACACTTTCCATGCAGCAAAGAAGCATGGGTTGCCAAGTAATGCCGATAATTTACGGTCAATTTATTCCAATCTGTCTGTTCTGAGAATTCAGGCTGTGGCTCGAAATCTACATAGACAGCATTTTTGGGGCATCAGGTGCACGCAGCATCGCTGATTCGGAACGCGCCTATGTCCCAGAAATGCTGTCTAACTAGGTAGCTCACTAGGATTTGATACACACCCGGTGAGTCCAAACCAAACTTACATCTCGAAATTCGACCAGTCCCATCTCTCCGAGTTCGCTGATGCAGTCGTACGCCGAACCGGACTGCAGGAACAGCTGCGCCAAGCACATCTCCTCACTCCGAAAGCCCATCTTCTCTCTCCTCTCCACCTTGATCCCTCAATCCGCCTCTGGCCTTTGCGATTCACTTTAATACTACAGCACGACCAACCTGCCGCGAGCGTCAAGTGTTCAACACAAAAATTCAATCTCAATGCATTTCCGTTTGACTAAAATGATGCTCGTTAGCGCGCATTCTGAATTATTGAAGATTGTGATGTCTGACTGAGCCGGGATGAGATTAAACTGTACCGAAAATCATTAACCTAGGAAAGCTATTTTTAGCAACCTAGTGAATATTCTTAGCATTATCATGCAAATACTACAAATTAAACTGCAGATGTAACATTGATGCAACACAGTGTCTTATCTAGCTGGCTGGACAATAATAATCGATAGGCGTCTGTACCTTTAATTGCCGTTTTGCCATTGAAACGACAGAAATAACGTAAGAGATTAAAGGCGACTGAAGGGAGGCTGCCAAACAAACAACTAAACGCTATCCAGCCTTAAAAACGTACGTATAAAATGAAGTCTTGGTGTTTAAATAGATCGCATTATAAAAAGATCACTCCCTTGAAGCACAAACCCTGGCAGTGTACAGATTGCGGGTTGCCAGGTACTTTGTTAGCAAATCCCCCTTCTTCTATTTAACGCATTTTAAACGTACAAAAAGAAATGTTTGAAAAATAGTTAAAACATAGCATAAACATATGATATATATTAGTATATGATAATGTGCATTTATGAGAGACGACCGACCATTTAGCAAAATAGTTCTCTTACAAAACACATTCACAACTTCACCTTTTCACTTTCTGCAATTAGCTTCCTTGTCTATGGAGTGATTTAAAAATTAAATATAATGAAATTAATATAAATTAAATAAATATATACAAATAAATGAAAATACGTGTATTTCTTACCTTATTTATTTCATTGTACTTTTATGTCAACATTTCTTGATGTATTTAATAATTTCATTGTTTTTTATTTTATTTAGTCTGTTAAATCACTCCATCTTCCATGAAGTGTGACTATATTTAATAAAATTATAATGACTTAATTATGAAATGCCAGCATAATTTCAAATAACAAGAACCGTTATTATACAAATCCATAACGAACCCATGGCTTGCAAATATTTTATCTGCTTAAGATCCACTCAGTAATTTTTGTATATGTTGCAGTGGCTGTAAATAAAATAAAGGTTCATTTAAAATGATATATGATTGCTATAAAATTGAGTAGGAAAATGTATGTAACAGATCTAATAACAATAATAATACCCTAAATTATAAATCCTAAATGTCTTTATTGCTAAGAAAACAAGTTTGTCTGGTAAGCGTTTTTCTGCAATCTGGCAACCACATCATCATTTAATATATTCTGTGCAGTTTTCTACCAGACCAGGGGCAGGCCATCTGCCTGTCCTTTGTTTAAATGCCTGAAAATTAGAAGATTTATAGGCCAAAACAAGACTTTGTTGTGAACACCAACTCACAATGAAATATAATATTTTCAACAGAACAAGTTACAGCAGATACAATCAGATTGTAATGGTCCTGATGTGACAGTGACGTCATATAACTCCACCTCATCCTATATTTATGCTAGTACATTTATGTAGAGCACCATAAATTGACTTACTTTGGTTCCAGTTAAATGTTCTTCTCAAAGCAAATGCAGATACTCAGAAAAAGCCAAACTGTCATGAAAAAAAGAGCATCCAAAAGTAACGTTTCTTTATACTACATGCAGTATGTGCAAAACGCCTGACAGGATTTATGAATGTGGCCCAGCCCTAATCACTTCACATCGCTTAAGAATACAAAAAATAACAATAGAAATAATACTTTATAAAGGTGCATATGAAGATGATAAATTCACCATGTTTACTTAAAATCTCAGCAGTTATTTAGGCCATAATTATTCAGCTTACAAAACAGGTTGGGAACCCATCATCAAGTGGAGCATGAGAGTATCATGAATGTTAAAATGAATTTATACTCAGGGTTTTCAACCAAGATCCACTCAGTAATTCTTCTTCTTATCATCTGATAATTAGTATTATAAGTTAAAACAAAAAGAGAGCAAAACCTCTGATTTATATAGGGCCGGCTGCAACTACAGCAAAGAAAATATCAGAGAAGAGAGGCTTTAAGGTAAATGTAGATGTCCCCAAAAAAAACATTTTAACAATCTCGATTCTTAAATTAAACTTTATGAATGTACCAAATAAGAGGGTTACCTGTATAGTTTACAGTTTCCTTTAAAAATAGGCATGCACCTGAAATACTTAATAAATAATAGTTAATTTCCGATTATCATCATAACTAGCCATTGTTGGCACTTTCTTTTTTTATGTTGGGAAATTATATTTGTAAACTGAGGATTTTAATGTTTAAAAATGTTTGAATAAAATATTGAAATATTAAGTGTCAGAAGTTACGGTTATTATTTATTAGTAAGTTAACCAAAGGATTAATCATAAAATAATAGATAATCGTTAGATTAATCAACTAATCCAAATAAATAAATAAATACATTCATGGGGAGAAAATCGTTAATGTCAGCCCTAAATTTATACCAATCTAGAGTTGAATCTTGATCAGAATTTATTCTGTAATAAAAACAAAAAAACAACAACAGTGTTTTGCATTTATAAGAAAAAAATGAAAATGAAAAGGTGTTTATTATTAAAATTAAGTTGTTTTTTGTGACACTTTAAATTATGAGGATTTTGGTTAAGATTTTTTTACATCATCAGGCATGATGTTCTAAAAATTATTGTTCAAGTAATAATTAATGTAAAGAATATTGTTCCTCTGTCCCTCTTCTTTTAATAAAGCACTATGTCATTAAGCTGAGAATTAATTTTTTATTTGATTGGTCAAAGGGTGTCTTAATCACATACCAGCTTGAAAATGAAAGTGATTGAAAGCGGTTTGGTGAGCTGCTTTGGTGATCAGTGAAGTCCACGTCAACGGAGGTTTTGTGCGAGTCTGTTGAGCTCCTGTGAGAGGCCAGTGACGGTGTCGAGGATCCTCTGCCTATCAGACTCCTGCAGACGGCCTCCACAGCGCTGGACAAACTTGTCTGGGTGCCAGAGGGCCTGCTGGCGACGGAGCACCTTCCGAAAAACAGTCGAATCAGATCGATCGGCACCGTGCAACATAACACCCACCATTTCCTCCAGCGAACCGCGAGGAGCGGGCCAAGGGATGTCGTCGTATCCCAGCAGTCCTTCAGGCGCTTTGCTCGAGGAGCTTTGAAACGTGGCGGCACAGCGCTCCTCATATCGTCTCTTCCTCCCCTGCCGCGTCTCCTCCTCCTTACGAGCTGCACGCTGCAGGTACTCCTCATGCTCCCGCTCCAGCCTGAGCCGCAGCTCCCTCCGACTCCTCTCATCCCCCTCCGTCTCCTTCCGCCGCTTCGACCTCTTCTGACCCGGAGAAGCTGCTTCCCTCTGTTCTTTGGCCCGTTGCTTGGCAAAATACTCCCGTCTGATCCGATCCGCCCAGTCTCCGAAGTCTACCTCATCTTTATCATCCCATAAAAAGTCATCTGGAGCAAACAGGACATATTCATACAATATACTGTAGCCTCAGCTTTGGACGATACACTGACACTGATGCATATTGCTCAATTTATTGATCTGGCAAGCATGAATCTGATTGCTGAATGCTGTAGTCAAGGGTCTGAATACATGAGACTACATAATACATAATGGTCAATGGCACTCATTAAAAAAAAAAAAAAAAAAATTAAAGTAATTAATTAAATAGTTAAAAATGTTGCTAATATTTTATAAATTTTATTAAAAAATACACTAAAAATGCAATTTATACATACATTGATTTGAATACACCTTGTCTACGATGAGCATGTTTTCTAATTTCTGTAATAAATGATATCTTATAGATTTTAATATAGATTATTTTATATATAGGATTATATATAATGAGGGCCATGAAGTCAAAAATATCAGGGAGAAGAAAAAAAGCTTCAAAATTGTTTATTACTGTTTCTTAGAAAAACAATTATTAAAACCGCTTCACTGCTTATTAATATTTGAAAATCTTCTGTCTACGAAATGTTATGTAGTGCAATGAAAAAAAACAACACAAAACAGGAAGTGATATCATCGAGAGGACCGCTGTAGACATTTGTGACTTAATTTCAGCAGGATGTAAAATGTCAAGCAGTGTGAATCTCCAGAAACTTAATGAATAAATAGTAATAACTACTAATAGTAATTCATAATATTTGTTTACAATTTTTTAAAATAAGTTTCATGTATAAAAACTAAAATATTGAACCAATTAAGATAATGTACACACACATGTATTCACAGTAAAATGAAAATATGTATAAGTTATTTTTTTTTTTTTTTAAACCAACATAAACACAGAGTACATTTCTAAAAACTTGACACAAGTCTGAAATTTAAAAAATATATATTTTCCCTTTTCTTTACCAGTGGCCTGTAGCACGAAGCCAGTTTCAGTTTTTACCCAGGTAAGTTTGTGTTTAGCTTGAGCAAACTCTTGAGTTTTCGGGCTCAAGAAGATGGGTTGGTTTTGAGCGGGTTTCGTCACCATGGTAACTTAC